CATATTCGTCTACATCGACATATACATGTATCTGTATATGAACATGGATATCATGCTATACTATTTTTTTGTCGTACAGATAGCGATATATTAAATTTCTTTCATGTTACAGAGAGCAATGAGAAGAAAGACAGCATCAAAGACCTAGCCAATCGAATGCGGAGACTCAGTCAAAATGCCACAGGAGCATTCGCCCCAACTAAACCCTCACAGAGCCATCTGAGACAGCAACTCGATTTGGTAAGTATACATGCGAAGTTATTCGTGTAGGATATACTCTGTCTACTGAGTGTATATTTGATGAAATAGAGAAAAAGAGGCAGTACATATGTAGTAATGTACATGTATTCAACCAACTCTACGATGTACTACGTGGTGTTTAACGCCTTCTAGAACGCGTTGATATGCCCTATGCAACCTGCTACGAGTCTCGAATACTGACAGTTGTGGTCATGGTTTGTTGCCTGCGTGGATCGGTAGGAATAACCGCCATACACCAGACTAGAGAATTGTGGCGCCGGGGAACGATGTCTGTTATATATGTACATGTGAGACTCTACCTTTCTAAGTGAACAAGGTTATCTTCTCTATCATCCTGCTACCTATTTAACAGTTCCTTTCACGCCCTTGTAGCGCGCGTGTTTTGTATAATTCTCCAGTTTTCTGCTGTTTCAAACGTAGGCACAAACGCGGCATACTGCAAACGTCCTCACACGATCTCGCTGCTATCTGTAGTAATTCACGAGTCTCTATTACCAATTCTTTTCACCTGTTCATAGCACAACAGTATCAAAGTAAATGTGTCGTTCTATGGAACTCGCCATCATCTGGGTGTGAGTATCAATTATTTCTTAGCAACTGCGCATAGTACAAGAGTACTACAAATTAAGTCTGCCGTTGGTCGTTGTTCATTTTGTGTGAGTTTATAACAATCTCACGCTTGTCCGACCTTGTCCAGGCCCACATTGTGACTGATACGACTCTGTAAGGAAAAGAATAGGAGTGCGAGTATACATTTATAGCCAATACATATAGTGCCGATACATGTAGCATGTACTATTATTTCATCTTCTCTGGTAGATATTCTCTGCTCACATTCGGGTTATTTCAAATCTTCTCTCCAGGAGGCACCGAACGAGGCCAACGAAGGCGAGAGTACGGCCGACTCACTGACCGTACCCGGGCCACCCTTTGCCAACGGGTCTAAAAGCCTGGAACGGGGGTCAAATACAGGGGGTAAAGTAAAGGCCAATAGACGTTTCAGCGGATTCCTGAGTGTGTTTGACTATAGTGGTGAGAGAGGGAAGGGTCTACCAGAGACTAATAACAACGTGCTCTGCACCCAGAGTGCTGACGTGGTCTATAGCGGACAGGTAAGCCGTGTACGTTGCCGAGAGTATACGTTTGTTGTTGTTGTGGTTGTATATCTGTTGGTGGTATGTGTATACATATATCAACCTAGTTACATAAGAATCATGAACTTTGTAGTCGTTCTATTGAGTGAATTTGGCTTTCGTGGAGAGAGGGAGAAGGGGTTTTAAGAAGTACACGACAACACACTTCTCTCTCGAATAA